TGACCAGATTGAGTGACTTATCATCAAGTCATACTCATTGAAAAACCGTAATGACATTACTTCAACATGTTTTTACATTAACTGATGGACTGCTCATTTTGTAATGACCCTTTAGAGTCAGAATGCCGTGTTTGAGGCCAAAATTGACGAATTTCCACGAGGTGACGCCACAAAGATAGAAAACTTTAACCACAACACAGGCATCCCGGCATTAAGAAAACTTTAATTTTCTTGGAGATCACAATCAAAACCCTGGGAGAGATCGTTTAAATTGTCCCCACTTGAATTAAAGTAACATTTATAGCCGTTTAAAAGTTATAAAATTTGAATGAGAGTTAAGGTTCGCTGCAATGTGTTGCAAAAGTATGTGATGTTCCTCCTTCGAATCCATTAGCCGATAGGGCGTCCACTCCAACTTTATCAGATCTTTCCATGTACCAGGGACATCTGTACGCTCTGCGTGTAGATTTCCGTTACATTCTTTAATCAGTTGATAAAATGGCCATTGTGGTGATGATAGCTTTTGTGGTAATAGTTTTAAGTTGGCTGGGCTCAATGCTTCACGCTGGGTGATCAAGCTCATTGCACGGAAACCCAACAAGCTTAGCCCGCCCGCTTCTCAGCTCATTCCATTTTCCTTAATTTCCATCGCTTCTTGACTTAAGACTGAAGGGCCAAGCAAAGACTGACGTAATTATTATCCAATTAAAACAAATAAATTCTGATTAATGTACAGAAAAGGGCATCTACAAAGAAGCGAAATTGAAATTGTTAAGATAGAGATCTTTTCATCCGTCTGCCAGAGAAACGAAATTAGTGATAGCTTCAGGCCAGTGTATTTCCATCTATCCCATTGGAAGCTATTAGATATCTCCCTCTTTAAACATTAAAAAATGATATTTTATAAAAAAAATGACTTTAGGAAATCTTGTTTAATTTGTGTTGAGTGCGGAAGCGCACGTTTAGTTTGCGCAAGCTTGAAGTTTAGCCTTAATTTATCAATTTTGGTTTAAATTGCAAGCTTTTTTGTCGTTGTATATGTGTCGAATTAACGACTTCAATTCCGTCTTTTGGCAATTACAAATTCATCAAAACTGTCGGCTGGCTAGCTTGTAAATACAGCGATGGCTTGATCAGTTTTCGATGGCAAATTTTTCATGGCACCTGTCTAAGGGACGTGTCGTTCCCTGTCACAGTCAAACAGTAAAATACAGTCTACTTAAACCTTTCCCTTGTATCGACGTTTTCTATCATTTCTGAATCACGTTTCGTATCTTCCGAAGAACTTTAATACATCTATGTTTGTTAAAAATGCGCTATTGTTTTGTTACATATCCGCTACACTTTTCCTTGACTAAATTTAGATGAGTTAGTGATTTGCCGAAGAAAAAATAATATTGAACTGACAATCTAAACTCTCATCCGGCTCGCGGGCAAATGACTCAAATAGTCATTAAGACCGGTGTAATATTTCTTTTGCTACTTTGCAGATAATTAAGGTCGGTAAGCATGTTTGCTTCCTGTCGTCATGTATAATATACAAGCACTCGAAATTTCAAAACTGGTTGGGCAAAATGTCCTAGGGACGATACAGCTTAAGGAAATATTGTTTACTGTCAGCACAGCTTTGTGATAACTTTATAATACAAGTTTTAATCGTCTCGCACCTGCGTACGAACCGAGCTTTGACTTTGAATGTAATTGTTGCTTTGACAGTATGTTTGTCATTTTTTCTTCGAGGGGTGTTTGTTCAATGAACATCTAATGCATCACACAGTTTGCAAACTGACAATACTAGTACATCCCTGGCTTTTATAGACCATGGAGTCGTATAAAACACTTTAGGGAGAAATATATGGTTTTGATAAAGTAGTCAAACCGAGGCGGGTTTTTTTACATTTTCCTCTTTTGTTCATCACCGACGCTTACATGTTTAACTCAATCTTGGGTTAAAAACAAGGTTTTTGAAACATTTTCTGAAAAGAATATTAATTTAGGCGCAGTTTGTGATCCGCAAAATCAATGGAAAAAGCCCGACGAGTCGGTGTATCAGTGATGTGTCTATTTTGAAAGTCAAATTTTATGATATCATATTGGTGAATGATACAAAATAACAAGAAAATATAGAAAGTGACTTGATGTGGTCATAAAGTAGCCTCTATCAGCTGCCAGCTCGTCTACGTTTGATGCGGGCGAAGCATAAACAGGTTTTCACTCAAAGAATCAAAATTTATTTATTTAAAGTTATCGGGAAACTTTTGTTATCTCTTTCAATTCGATCATTAAACTTGTATTCGGGAAAAGAAAAGAGCGGCTCGCAATAAAAGCGGGTTACTTCATACAATTTTTATAGTTTTATTATTTTTCTGCTGAATCATATTTAAAATTTTATTCAATGGCGTATCTGACCTTGAGGGAGATTCGAGGTACTAGTTAAGAGTGTGTTTTTAAAGACCTTTGATGTGTTGATCGCATTGTTTTAAAGCACAAATTCCTAATGAGCAATTCAATACTATTGAATTACCATTCAATATAGTTTAAAGAACCAAAAAGTGCTTGCTTGATTCATAATCTAACACTACAAAACACCTTAAATTGTTATTATAATGAAAATTAAAACTACGGATATTTTAAGTGCGCGTTCTATCGTTTTCTTTAAAGGCTTAGCTTAGACTGGCTTTCAAAACATCGAAAGATTAAATACACTGTTTTTAATCGACTAAACGTAGTACGGATTTGTTGAGATTGAGGGTAAATTTAACCGATAAACACCGCTGATATTAATGGTATTGTTACCGAGAAATCTTCAACCACAGTCGATCGTGGTTTTATATAGATCACCACATGTTTTTCAGGTCCTTTTAGCATCTTGAAGTCAACTTGAAACACAAGCAGACCGTTAGATGGGGTAGGGCCGCGCGTGTGTTGAGCGCCCGTGGACATTTTAGTTGATGGTTTTCGAATATAACCACCAGATGTAGGCCGTGCTGTTTTGATGGTGTTAAATTCAAAAGGGATATATTCTACCTCCAAGATAAATTGCGTTTACACTTGAGCACGTAATCTGACTTTTGTAGGTCTTTTCTCCTCTTGAAAAAGCACTATTCATATGTCAGTAAAATGACATGGTTGAAAAGTAATTTGTTCAACCAATATGAAAAAACTGATTATAAATGATTCAGAGTCAAGACAATGGCACGGAGCTCTTTCCGGTTCGAGCTGTGCAGTTAAAACAAACTCGGACGCAAACTTCAATCTGTTGTTTATAAAACGAGCCATCGTAAATCATACTGATGGAAAACGCGGCGAATTCTCTGCTCAAATCAATTTCTATTAGAGAACTTGTGCTATTCGATACATCCTTAATGGAGTCTGCAGGTTATAATATCTTTTTCTCAATATCAATCTAGTTTCACTTTAATTTACACTCTATAGCTTTAAAAACAACATCTCTAGCTCATTAGACTTGAAGCCCAATATGCTAATATTAATGAAATAGGTCATTTTAGTACTATTAAAAGACTATACAATAGGGACGAGAGCAAGCAGGTGAAGTAAAACCTAAGAAGAATAACACACTATACACACACGAACGATTCAAGCTCGGAACACTGTCGTCCACCTGCTTCAAGCATCTAAATTACTGACTATTATTATTGTTAGATGTATTGATCCATAGCTATAATTTCCGGGGCAGAGAGCAGGTACTGTTTGGATTTTTCATGCTGAAGATCAAGGATAACCCAATTGAATCATTGCTTCTTTTTCGTAATGTATACGTAGCTTTGAGACGCGCGCAGCGCTGTTCTTTTTTTTGGTACTGCCCATAGACTCTTTGATGCAGTAAATTACTTTTAAATATTAAAATGAGAATTGGATTGACTGGGTCTTTTGTCGAGTATCTTATGTCAGTGAATTGGATAGGGAGTTAAAAGAACCAGGGCTTTTGAAATTTTACCAAGGAAAGCCATCAAAACATTGAAATTGTTTTTGAAAATTTTAATCAACGTATATACTCATTATGTTTTCCCTGCGAGACACAAAACACTGATATAAAACAATCCCTTGTTATGATGTACTGCAAATTGTTTTATTTGATGTATACAGTTACTCCATCAAAGCTAAACAAGTGCATTTTGGAGTCAAAGAAAGGAATACTGTAAACGCTGTAAATATTAATTCAGTCGCCTGGGGCACTTGATGCGTAATTCAAGCCAGTAGCATTAATTTCTATCAATTCGAAATGGTCAATGACTATTATTTATGTTGTGCTGGACTTAAGGTTGATTTAAAGAATTAAGACTGTTTGAATTGAAATGCAGGAACACCTTAATTATTGTTAAACTGTTCTTGTTTTTATACTTGGGTCTCAATTTCAAATGTTCAGTCGGTGGAAAATCTTATTCGCTTAGCAAGTGCTAATGAAGTTCAGTTTATAGACGGAAAAGACCAATTCGATGGCAACATTGTTTTGCCTCAAACTCGATGGCAGTCATAATAAAAATTCTATTATATGATATTTGGGATCCTGGTTTCTTGAGGGGAAGAAATACTTCGTTTCCTTTTTTCAATGAGATGGATAATTCAGCCGTATTTAAACAGTTTTTTGAAATGGAAACTTTACTTCAATGGTTTCCGCGCAAATCGTTCTTATCTTTTTGCCTTGATGCTAAATATATATCGATTTCTTTTCACAAAAAAAAGCGCTTTAAATAAGAGATATTTGTCATTAAAGATGGCTTTAAATGGCCAGTAGACAAGTCAATTCGCTTTCACCAGCAACGTCCAGTAGTGAAACATATAATATATATGTATTGATATCGATTGGATAATTTTTCGCCCTAAAGAAAAGTACTAAATTTTTAAGTCGTAAGTTGTTCATCAAGCAGTTTATTCATTTGTCTAATTGCAACGAATATAAGTCTCGTTCAAAATTGAATTTGTTCCCCTTTGTTGTTCTTTGAAAGAACAGTATACACTAACAAAGTTCAGGCTTTAGCGTTTGAAATTGTATTTTTATTTGGTGTTGATAGGAAGGGTCTTTAGACAAATCGTTATGAAGCGATATTTTCTTGGTTTATATAAGCACAAATATGAATGAATGGACTTTCTAAACAACTTCATTTTACATTGACTAGATTGAATATTATGTACACGACCACTCACACCATCTCGCTTATTTTCAATGGTCGAAAACAGCGACGAACAAATGTTTGTTTTTGGTAGTGTGGTTTTAAGGTAAATTTTTAAAGTTTGTGTTCAATTCTGCTTTTCTTTTTCACTCGACGTCGAGTCGTCATTGTTCCTCTCTAAAGATTCGCTGTCTTCTGGATTCTTATTGTTACGTTTGTCCCTCGAAAGATTTGCCAGCGCTGACGAGTTCAAACGCGGCTCCAGAAAAAAAGAAATCGGGACATTATTGTCTTTGTTTCGAATACTGTCCATTGCAAAGGCGATATGTGTAGACGGTGATGTCTGTAGAAAAGGCGATTTTGAAAATGGTGATATTGGTGTAAAGGCAGATTTTCCACTCCCCATGAAAGCGTCAGTACCGCGTACATATTTATAACTCTCAGGTCGCAGTGTTCTAAAGTCTCGGTAGATATCCTCTACAAGAGGTGGTCGAGACCAAGGACTTGTATCAGCTAAAATGGTCGGGTCGCTTTTGCACTTTGTTAAAACCTCTTCAATTGCCTGCACTACGTCGTTGCCACATGATTGGAGAATAAGCTGTAGCACGCTAACTTTAATCTTAGGGAATATTCTCATCATAAGTTCAATGGGCTGTGACCGGCGATGAGAGAAAGGCGGTAGATGTAGCATCGGAAAAGACGGCTTGTCTTGAGGCTCACAGTCGGGGAATTGAAATCGTCTTCTCTTCTCGTGCATGCCATCGCTGATCATTGAGCTTACAGTGTAGTTATTAGGACTCTCTACGGGAGCATCCGAAGAACACTTTCGCTTTAATTCTAGTAATAGAAAAATGAGTTAAAACTGAGAAATCATAACTATGAAAAGCCAGAGCAATTTGTTTGTGAGCGGTTTGTGTGTTGTTGATGTACGGGAAGTATGTACGTGCGATCGATCTGCGTTACTTTGAAAAGAAGATCTAAAAAGCCTATAGAATTCTTTTAGTTAGATTTGATCGATAGAACCACCGCAGTGGTGTAGAGAAAATCTGGCAGATGGGATCTGTCTGCCTTTTAAAACCATTACTAGTGACAAAAACATTTATCTTATCATGAACGTACGAAAACTATCTATTAGAAATATACGCATACTCGTATGAATTACAAAAACACATTTGGACTCTGCGTCAAGGAATACCGTTCCTTTTGAAGCGATCGTCTGAGGGTTTTAGGATCAGCAATTTCTGGTTTTGTGGGCGGTGCACAGAAAACAATTGTTAGTAGCAGAAATACGAAACTGATACTGGCGTGCAGGTGAAGCTGTGTGCCTTTTTGCGACTTTTTTGACATTTTCTGTTTCGATGTTTCACATTTAACGAGTTCTTTTGCGGATGAGAGATTTCAAAGATAAAACCATCCATTGAAATTTCAATGCATTTTACTTAAATCTGTCAAGATCCCTTACATTGAATGAAGATAACTGAAATGAATTCTTATCGATGCTCTGAAAGAAAAGCCTAATTTGGGTATTGGATGTAACAATAATAATATGTTCTAATGATAGCGACAATCAAAAAAAGCGCCGAGAAATAGATTTTGCGACTATTTTGATACAAATAACATCGTTTTTAAGTTGACCCTTTGAAATGGTTACACCATAGAGTAGCAATTTGGAGGCGAGGAAATTGGATGAATTGGAGTTCCTTAGACCAATTTGTCATATCCAAGCAATAACAACTGACAACGAAAACACGACCGACCTTAGAGTCGGCCTTTAAGGAAATGCTCATTGAGGAACTAATTGATGTTCGTCATAGAACGTAGCATATAAATCAAGCCAAATTAATATTGCTACCCTCTGAAATCAGCGCTTTTGCGTCCAGATGGCTCGTGCGTGAAAACTGTGTTATTTTAAAATTCCTAACAAGATATCAGTACACCACCCGTAAGATAAAAGCCTTAATAGAGCTTGTTGAACACTGAGGCAAGGCTACTGGTAAGCCTTGAGACGGGCCTTATCTCGCAGCGCGCCACAAGATCTGTCATCAATGGTGTCAATTTAAGACTTTTTCGGGGTATTAATCTCGCTATCATTTTGCTAGAAGTTGGCGGGCAAATTACTTTTTATATGATCGCACATAGCGGAGGTGGAATTAACAATTAAAGCTTTGAATTGCGAATTAAATACAAGACAAACGTAAACAAATGTCATGAACTTCAATTGGGTGTCAGAAGTGGGATGGCGCCGCTTTGTGCGTGTATGTGCCACTAAGGTACTAGTTTATTAAATAAAACTCTATACAAAGCTCAATAGACTTAAACTTACTTGGGTTTTGAGGTGCAAATGAGTTGGCAAACGGACGGAAGGCAGAACAAGTGCAGTCCGGATGAGAGTCAGTTGAGTGTGGTCCTACGAGGTGTCCATGCTGGGAATCTTTGAAAATAAAGTAATAACTTTTAATAACCTTGTGAGAGCGTCATTCAAGATCGCGCGTGATCTCGTTAGTTTCGCTCAAAAAAACCCCAAAACTATCAGACCATAGATAAAATGGCTAGAAATGGTGATCATATTTTCTGTGATGCACTCCAGTAACTACCCTTTCGGAAACAATATAGAGTTCTAATTAGGAAGCAAGTCCCCGCTTTATTCGCGATCAAATGGAATTTCCCTTTGTATTGGTTGAAAAGGCAAATCTTAGTAGTCTTATCTATGTAAATTGCAAGTACATATTATATCATCGCCAGTTTCGAAATGATTAAGATACTCCAGTAGTGTGCCATTTCCGTTGTAGAGGCCCAATTTTTTTCCAATTTAAACTGGTCGGACGTAGCAACACAGCTGTACATTTCTGACATGTTTTTTTTTACTGAAATGCCCTTCCTCATAAAATACATGTTATTAATTGTATCTTGTGCTGTCATTTTGATAAAACCGACTAGTAATTTTAGGTTCTTTGGCGACGAGGAAATATTATTAAGCCATTATAGATTACGCGTATTATGTATTTAGAATTTATACCTGGCAGTCGAGCAAATGTTCCAAATGAATTACCATTCGGGGCTTCTGTATCGTTAAAGGTCTCGTCCAAGGGGGACTGCGCTTCTTTCTTAATTTCTGAGGAAAAAATCGTAAAAAAATACATTAAAACGATGCAATGTGATAGTTATTACTATGTTATTATACGAAAAGGGCTTGTTAGAGGGTGATAAGTGCCAGAAAAAGTCCTTTCTAGAGGGCCGTGCACTTGGAAAATTTAATAATGTTGAAATGAGTTTATTTGCTATCTCACGCAGAGCTCAACCACACAACACGGTGAATTACTAATCTATCTTAGGTATAGTCAATGGGCTATTCACAAAGAAGAAAAAAAACACACACATCAAAGCTTCGAATCGTTATCTTTGACGTTACTTGAAATGCTGTCATTTCACAGTCAAAAAAGTCCAACTAAAAATGTAGATTTTGTTCACCTTTTATTGTACTATTGAGTGAATTTTAGAGTTCGGTTTAGCCAGATGCGAAAGGTATGCGCGGGCTCTTTCATCCCATCCAGCGTAATAACTGTTATACTGTATCGATCTTTTCATCATTGAAATCAGAATTATCCCGTCAAAAAGGACGCGTCGCGAACGCTTGCATCAAGCTTTCACCCAAAAAACATCGGTATTATTTTACAAAACCAGATTATTTCTAAATTGTTAATTTCTGAAATTTTTAGCTTGTTTGTTTAAACACTTCGAATGTTCATCAATGGTTGTTTTGATGTCTATTTAAGGTCGTTTCATATTAAAACTACCTGTAAAAGGTGATCTTATAGTAATATTTGAGTAGAATTTAGTTCACGGGTGAGACTTTTAGTGAAATATAAAGGAAAATCCCCCCCAAACCATCCCAAATGAAAGAAATAACATGACATGAAATCCATGTTTGATATGTCAGTGATATAGGCATAGATGTTGGACAATAATTAGGTGTAATACTGACAAATACTGCATCTGCAAAAGATTATAATCTAGTTTGTACAACACTAAGGATAACACAGCAATTTTTCAAGGTAAATTTTTAAGATTTAAACCTGTTTTCTCGTCGTCTGTAGGAGAAGGCGACTCCGACTCTGGAGGAGGACTTTGAAGTTTTCCCTCGTTTACTCGGTGAAGAGCTGTGAAAACATCTCCAGGGGGAAGAGGCTCTCTTTGCTCCTGCATCTGCTGTCTTCTTAGCGCAACTTGTGCTGCGAGAACTCGTTGCCTTTCTGCTATTAGCATACATTTTGGACATAGGCAGTCTCTCCATCTACAGAAACCTTTATGGCCCTTCAAAATTGACTCAAAACCATGATTACGGCACCTTGCACATTTGGGTGTTCGCTTTTTTTCGCTGGCCGAAAGATGACTTTCTTGCGAGGGACTAAAACTCATTTTGGTTAGTTAGCCCGAATAGCGACGCTGGTGTAGTTGATTCTTCTTGTTGCGGATCAACCCAGTAAATATCGAATCATAAATGACAAGGATTTTAGATTGATACTAAGCTTATATCACACTCGTGCGCCACTAATAGCTTAAAAATACCCCTAAACTGAAAGCTGATTGGCGCAAATCGAACTGTGAGTCCCGTTAATCAAATTCAAAGTACTATTGTTCTATGATGGTTTTGATTGGTTCGTTAATGTCGTTGTGTATGGCACCTGTAATGGGAGCCCTTGATCGTATAGTTTGAATTATCGGCCTTACCAGGTGACCCCAAACACCTCCAAACAATTGAAATCAAAATAGATCTTACACAAACTAACATCAAATAAAACAACCACGATCAACGCGTACGTTCCGAACGCTAAAAGAGCAGTTTTGCGTTAATTTTACAATCTTCCACATCATAACTATGTACCGAGTGTTAACTCAGCTCATGTAAACTTCCTTTTAGAATTGATTTTTAACAAAATACAATAGGCAACTTTAATCGTCCCGTTCATTTTCCTAGAATACTTCCTGTACTGGTAAACTTGCTAAATTTTTGCATTAAAGCTGTATTAATCTCGTAATCAGTTTTACTGTGATCAAATATCTATAATTAAGACCTCAATGGTATGATGGCAGACTGTTTGGATTTAATTTTGAGGAAATCTTTTTAGGGAGTTTTTTTCGTGCCATGGTTTTTATTACACTTCCTGAAGTTCTGAATCAAACATCGTAAATATACTGCAGCTTTGAAACAGCTCCAAATCGATTTCTAATTTCTCAAAACAATGCATTTGAAGTCATTAGTCCGCGGCTAGTTTGTAAAAGACATATCAATCTTTATTCAAAACTTTTTAATGATCATTTTTGCGTCACTTCAGGTCTAAACGTCCCCAGTAAAGAAATACGGAACCGAGATACGGGACCGGGTTTTCCCACTTCATGGACATTAAATCCATTTCAAATTTGATCTATTAATGCGTTTACGCCCAGGTTATGTTTAACTTTACACTCAGAGACAAGAGAGAGGAAGGGAAAACCCAAATAGAGCAGTATGAACGAAACTTGCAGGTGGCCCTGGTAGAGACCGCAGGGAAAAGGGCGAAATCTCGATAATTTTTGTATTAAATGTTTTCTTCTTTTTAGTCAATTTACACCTTTTAAGAAACACAGCGAAATTTTAGCTTTGATTGATTTTACAATCTCTTTTGAAGACTTTATTTTATATTATGTAACAAGTTGATAAAAGCCCCAAGCAATGAAACACAAAAAAGTGAAACTATATTTCAACCTGAAAAACCTACCGGAGTACATGAAGTCTTTTTAATGTCAATACTCGATATAAAGTGTAATATTCTTTGATGAACAACACGGTTGTTTTTAAGTCTCGGTTCGCAAAGGTCTAGGCGGGAGAGATCCAAAAATGAGTTTTATCTCACTTCTTTTGTTAAATCTTTAAATTTAATATTTAGTTTTAGAAAAAAAGATAAGGTTTTGCCAACATTATCGATAGTCTAAATGATATATCTAGATGTATGGAGTAACAGTTAACGAAGATATTTCTTCTTTCTTATCTTCACCGATTAGATAGATAAACGAAGAAATGCCAAAAACCATCAAGACAAAACCATGAGTAATAACTTAAGTTTTTTGCGTATTTCTACAGCACTTTTAACCAGTTTTTTAAGAGAATCTAACCGATTTATCCTGTCCTAGTCTTTGATAAAGAGAGTTTAGGATTTATTTTTTTCAATAGACATATAGTTTGAGGCTGAGAGATTAACGACTGGTGTTTGGCAGTGGCCATACAGACTTCAAACAATTTCTTTTAGAATTAATTACGAGATAACAGTGGAGTTGGTCAGTTACTAAAGATAGCCAGAAATACATAGCCCGTTGGGACTGAATTCAAAACGCATGTATACAAAAAAAACTAAATATCAGTAATTTGAGACTTTGATATGCGCTATAGAACTGAAACATGGCCAAAAAGCACAAAGACAGATCGTATACGTACGAAGATTTTAATCACGTTTTATTGCGGGATCGTATGCCGGATGAACCGAGAAAAGTCAACGAAATGTGTAGAAATTGACAGAAGCTAGCCCAAACAACCTTAGTTGTACAACAGTGAATCATTGTTTATCATTGAATCAAAATATCGCGTAGACACGGAAACATACTATCAGACCATTACACAGCTCGATCTATATAGTTTTACAAGGAGCTACGTCCTCTGGCGATCTCGGGATCGCTGTTTATAGAAGCAATATTAACAGCTTCTAATTTCCAAAATCAAATTATATCGATTATCATTGAAATATTTTTTTTTCATCAATGAAATCCAGTGTTTACAATCGTACTTGCGTGATCTTAAAAATCAACTCCTAAAAGCAGAGACATGTTATTAGATTTGCGCTCCAAAACACCGATTTATGTTAAGTTGAGCTGGGTTTAATGTGGTTAATCCACAGTCACTGCCTAATTCATTCATTGGAGTCATTTCTTTTCACATGAATACAATGTATATAAAAAAGCCAACAAAAAAGAAGAAAATTGACTTAAGGATATTTAGTAAAAACAAGGTGAACTGAATAAACGAAATGCTTAGTTTTGACCCTTAGGCCTGTCGGCAATGAAAAAAGATAAATGTTATTATGAAACAGTATTCGGAAGGTCAGTGAGATGATAGGGAAAAATGTGTTGTTTCCCCGTTGTGTGTGGCCTAGATAAGCCTTAAAGTTTAAAGTGATTTTAGCAAAATTACAGCGGTTAGCGGGTCGGAACTCCAGAAAAAGAGATAAAAAGACGATCAAAACAGCCCAAATACAATTTAGATGTGATTTTAGTCCGTTTATAATAGCACGGCTCGCTTAGCGAAAATAAGCTTTTTATCAAAAATGGACACACTCAGGTTCGTTCAAAAAATGATATACTATAACTTTAAAGTTAATCTCTATGAATTTTCTACAAGCGGACAATGACTGCAATTACAAAAAAGATTCGCTCGTGGTGTTTGAAAAAGGCTTAGCTAAGTAAACAATGGAAAACTTGTTTCTTCCACGCGTTGCCCGAGTGCTGTTATCATCATTCTTAAAGGATTTGTGAAACCTGAGAGTGTGAAACGCGCTCTTTTGACTTAAGTAATTCGTTATCGCCAATGTGTACTTTTGGAATTAAGTACAAATTCAAGTAAATTTGATCTTGCTTTAATAAAATGTCAATCAGTTGTATAGCTACGCCCCTCTAACTCTGATTTATTTATTTATTTGTTTGTTGTTTCGACTTCATGATTCTACTAAGACATCATTTCTTAGCCGATTTTTTCATCAAAATGACCCTTTTTGATGTGATGTTTGATTAATCTATCCATTTTCCCGTGCGAAAGAGATTTTCTTGCTTGGATTCTTAATCTTTGAAAAATTTAAGTATTAAAAGTGAGTGAAATTGCTTTTTAAGAGCCTTTTTAAAGATTTTTCCGAACTTAAAAGGCTCAACTGATGGTGCTAACTTCAGGACAGGGCAATCAATTTGAGATGTCCATGTTTCAAACTTTAAAATTCTTGCACTTTCATTATCAAAAGATCTTCGTTTAAGTAGTAATTAATATAAAAAATTTAAAGTTTTTTTGCAGTTCGAAACATATACCTCAAATAAATAATGAGAATCTTCTGGAAGATCCAAAAGGAAATTTGCCACATAAATAAAAAATATTTCCACTCTTTTTGGTGGGATGTTTTTCATTGTTACGTTATTTTTAAGTTGTTATATATCCACATTTCTACTCCCTATGTTTCTATTTTCTTATTCAGCGATGCTTTTTTTGTACCCAGCTACGATTATACAAAAACGTTTTAATGGAATAAAGCCTTTATTAAGAAAAATCAGCAAGACAAAAAGTGTGTTTAGTAGTTAGATTTGACAAGTTTCTAATTAAGCCGTATTAGGCCAAAACTCTGATCGATAAATTAACTTGTAACGGGACTTCAATATAGCATTGATGGGGTGTTTACTTAGCTTCAAGAATATTATTAAATCCTCAAGAATTTCGACCGAAAATATGATTAATTTGCGCCAACATTTGCTAACTCAAGTAATCATCGAGGTGTTGTTGAATTGTTGTTTTATGCTCACAATAACCTTTTTTCCGGCATTTATTCGATGCAATGAGATTTAATTTATCGGACAATGGCAACACACAGTTCTTTTGGTGGCCGAAGACAGTGAATCATTAAGCAACTGTGTTTGATTTGAATGCCCTGAACTACAATCAAAAACATGCGTTAAATTTGAACTCAAAACGAACTTCCATGATGCATCGGGTTGATTTTTTTGGGAAAACTAAATAGAAGTTGCCTAGTTGCTTTTAGAGGAAACCGAAATTTGAAATTGTATTCTCTGAAATTAAGTAAACTTGAATAATGTCAACAAGAATATGACTAAACATAGAGTTATAAAGGATTTATTTTCCAATTAAGTAAATTCACGCTTATGGAACTTCCTGGTGTGGTGTGTTTTTATTTAGATTGTGAAATCACAATATGGATTTTCTGTACAGGTGAATCTAACATTTGAACACTTTATTGAGAAATGTGAACGTTCTCGAAGTAAAAATCGACATTCCAGAACGAGTGATCTTTGACGTTAGTACTTTGTTATAACCTTGATATTTTTTTACGATACAAAGATTTTTAGACATCATTGTTGTCTATCTGTCTGATGATTCAATCTCTATTCTATAATAATCGCGAACGTGTTCTATTTCCATAGCATTCGGTATCTTAGAATTCCATATTTACGTCTTAAAATCATTATCCAAATCAATGTCGATTCGCAAAGCACTTTAGAAAGGTTCTAGACCGCATTGCTAAAGTTCTTCTAACGGTTTTGAGTTGACTTTTAAGAGGAAAATAATTACTGAGATAGTAGAGATAAACTGAGCTCTCCATGGGGTATAGCCATCTTAACGTGGTTAGATAAAAAACAGTTCACTTTAAATGAAGAAAACAACTTTAAAACATAACGAATTTCATGAATTTTATCATCTAAATATCAGGTA